ATATGTTATGTTATAAATAAGTTATGTGAAAGTTAGGATTTGTGTGTGATTTATCAATGCATCCACACTCACATTTTTTTAAGTTCATAACCGTGATATAGAACAGATACACCAGCTTCTATTATATAAATATTTTTTTATGTTACATTCACTATAAAAATTTGTTCTTGTATTTAGAAAAGTTCTATTGGTTTTATGTAAAGAGGTTTCCCCTTTTTTGTGCATAAAAGATGTCTATTTGCTTTTTCTTTTTAACCATGTTTAATTTACATTTATCTTTTATTATGTTCGTGTGTAATAATCGAGAGTTCAATTTGTTGTGCGGTTTGATGAAGTTATGGGTACTATTGATTTGTATAGTATGTCATATGTGTTAACTTTCTATTTTAACGTGTAAAATTTTGTTTAGCAAAGTTGTATTTTCACGTGTATTTCTTAAACAGTAAGTGGATACTTTAATTTTTTTTTCAGTTTTATGTGTCTGTCTAAAGATAAAGGGAGAGAAGTGTGATATGCAAGCTTGTCATACGTTTTCTGCCTCCCTTAGTTACTATATAACGTTGTTATTGTCATACTGTGCATATGTTCTCAATGTAGAAAGTTGGTCAAAAGAGTTAAAATGCTCCTCTCGCCCTAGTTACTCACAGAACTAGGGTATCATAAATTATTTGCCATGAAATAGATTGCTGTAAGATAGCGTATACTGCATAGTAATTGGCGATGATCTTTCCTCTGACAAGTCAGAAGATGCCTCAGTGATAAAATATTTTCTGTTTTTTAGTGAAAAATACCATCACTCACGTGGTATGCCCTGAGAAAAATGACATTATTGTTTTTCTCGTATAATGAAATGTTTTCTCATTCAGGAACAACAGGATAAGATAATATTATTTTACATAGAATTCATTACAACAAAACATTAATATCAACACACTCTAGTAAAGTACCAACATATAATTACCTTGAAAAGGATTCTTTGATGTTTTAAGTATTTGAATAGAGATCGTTTCTCCGTGTAATACTTTGTATCCAGTCTCTTTCTTTGCTCCAAATTCAGTCGAGATTGAGAGAATTCACGTTTCGCTCTATAAAATATAATCTGGTGAACCTCCAGGTATTCTGCAGCTTTTACACAATTACTCGCAAAGAAATCGGTGAACCTGAGAACACCACGTGTAACTATTCTCCTTTTCGTATTGTTTCAGTTTATTTATCAACTTCAGTTAAAATGTAAAGAAGCAGACTTCTAAGTAATCAAAATTCAGTTTATTTAAATTAATAACAGAAATAGAAGTTCTGTAATGGTTATTCAAATCTGCTTTCTTATGCTAAATCAAAATAGTTTACTCTTGATGTAATTAACTTTTCCAATTTTTTTAATGGCAGATGTACTTGGTGCATATATTTTGGATATTTTTGGAAGAGCCTGTTTCTGTCATCTTACTTCTTTCATTTCTGAATCAGACCCAATTCAGCTCCTTTTTCTGATCAGTGTTTCACAGATGTAAAATATATATTGAAAGGATTGTTCATCTATAGTGGAAAACGTTCCCCTTCTATGATAAGCTTACCTGGCTCTTTTCAGATCTGTGTGAGGTTGTTCAACTATTTCCTTCCACAACTCTTCTCACTAAATTACTTCATCAAAGGGTTCAATAGTGTAATTTTGGTTATGTTTATATAACAATATACATACTATTTGGTTTATAGTGGCACAAAATAAAGAGTGAATAAAAGTGAACAGCTTTTTTGTTCTGGAGAGAATCAAGAGTAATTCTGGGGAAAGCCTATGGTGCCTAAACTCCTATTCAAATGCAACATGCCAAAATGACTCTAAAGCTGAACATCTAGGCTTTGAAACCTACTGAGCCTGCCTGAGGTGCCACTGTAGGAATGTCCCTCCATAGCGACTTACTCAAACAAGCTAGGTGCACTGACAGGACCAGTAGCCAAACCAACACCAGTCACACCTACGCCACTCACAGAAGAAAAACAAGTTATGTTACTCTGTATAATCCCCACTAAAAAAACAGTTTAACAGGAAACAGTAATATACAGAGGACATTAAAAGGGCAGGGGCTCATTGACAATAAAGGGCACTTTTCAAGCATTGTAAAGCAAGCTGCTTTTTTGGAGGGTGACTGGTTTTAGGGGAGACTATGAGGATTTTGGATTGTCTCTGCTACACATAATTCAAAGAGCCATAAGAAGCAAATAATTCCTCTGTTATTCCTAATCTATTGGCCGTATATATATACATTTAAAATCTAACCTACACATCTTTGTGTTTATTCGAAAATTGAAATATTTCTTTTTCCTTATAACTTGCTGCAAACAAGGTATGGAATCAGCCATATATTTTAGTGATTTCTGTCAATTGTTTTTGACTGAAATAAAGAGAACTTTTGGGGCATATGGGCAAGAAGGGAAAGGCTTGAGCCTACCCAGCCACCCTACTGTTCACGTCACTGACAGGAAACACAAACGGTCTTTCTATTTAGTAGATGTATCCTTTGGATACTTAAGGATTACTTAACTGTTCTAGTCAAAAAACTTGGAATAAACTTAGCATTCAAGTAAATTTTTATGTTATTTGTAACTACCATACAGTTTTAATTAAACAGCTGTCTAGTACTAGATATATGTTGCTTATTAGTGACTCAGTCATTAATTATGTTTTGCTTCACACTTATAATTTTCATAAATGTTCTCCTGAAACACAAAATAACATTTGCTGTCAAAGTTATTACATTATATGAAGGAATGCAATGATTATGTTCCACTGTTTGAATGCCAAGTAATGTTATTATATGTGCTATGAACTTCATTTGAGTAATATTTTCAGAGTTTTGTGGACTCGGGGTACTCAAATTAGTTTCAATACTTCAATTAAAATGCATTTGAATAATAGCTAATAATAACGGTAGTAAATGTTAAAGTGAAATGCATAAGTAACTGTCAGATGAGAAACGAAATACTTCTTGTAATTACTTCCTATCATGGAAACGGATTGCTATTGGTCTATCTGGAATAATCTGCAGTTTCATCTTCATCTTAACGCCTTTATCATCTGCATACTCTAATCGAAACTTCTGAAGGATCTATAGAAGAAAGTAATTGTATTTTCACATCTTATCTGGTTAAATACAGTCTGGCATGTATTTCACTAAATTAAAATAAAATACTTGAGGGTTGGATATTTATTGTTTCAGAACTGTTTAAAGAAAACAGATAAAAGTAAAGCAGTTACAGCAAGATTGTGGCGATTGTATATCAATCGTTGTTATAATTAGCTGCCTATACGATCTCCTAAGTTTAATTAATAATTAGTTAGTTAGTTTTCCTTTTTTTAAAGACAGTACTAGATCAACAACTGAAAAGTTGTACATAAACTAACTAGCAAGTATTATGTAAAATGAATAAAAAAGTAACTATTTAATAATTAGACTTATCCTATAAGCTAGTGACCACGAGTCAGTGAAGAAAAAAAAGAGCTCAATTGCGAAAGGAAAGTGACTAGAAAAGTAAAAAATAACCCAGCGAATGAAACACATGAAGATTTTAACTAGAAAACTAAAATAAAACTGAGAAGTAGAACAAGAAATAACGTTTTTTTTGTATCCTTGTGACTAACCTTAATGATACACAAACTCATCTCTTGTTCAGCAAATCTCTGACCGACGCAACGCCGAGCTCCGTGCCCAAATGGTAGGGTAGCAAATGGATGACTTCGCTCTTCTTGGCCCAACCAACGCTCTGGTCTAAATTCTTTTGGGTTCGAAAAATACTTATCCAGTTTACAGATGCTGGGGTTGATCCCAATACATAAAGTCTAAAGTACAGAAACTCAGCATGTAATTGTTTTAGTAAATCATCTCTACGTCTCTTCCTCAATCAACTAAAAACAGCGTGTATCAATATTATTAGACAGCTAGCAACTACATTTCTAACTTTTGTTTTTTCAAGATGAAATAAATCTAATAAGTTTATAATTTACTTACCCCTTTGGGTACATGATATCCGCTTAAGACAACATCTTCAGTGATAAATCTAGCATTTCCACCTGCTGTTGGAGTCAGCCTGGAAATAAAAAAGAAAATACGTATTTTTTATCCAACAATCTTTTTAAAAGTAGTTTTAGACTATGCAGTATTGTCTCTCTTAATTTGGTTAAAGCATAGAAATGACAGTTTTAAGTAAACATAGATATAATTGAAGATATTGCTATCAGGGAGAAAGAATGAGACAAAGACTTTTAAAAATCTTGGAGATCAGTTAGAACAAGGGTATTTTGTTTTACAAAAGCAATCAACCCAAATATTCTTCATAACTTAACCAAAACCTCTTCCAAGCTGCAGATACTTGACGAAATATAACAATAATAGATTGTTTGTTTAAAATGTCCTAAAAGATAAGACCTGTTATTATTATAAAAACTGTTTATGTTATATATGATAAAACAGAAATTACCTGTGGTTTTCCTTTTTACATGCCCGAAGATACGTCAGATTTTGGAGATCGGAAGGTGTCAGTTTCTCTACAGGTGGTACTTTTGTTTTTATTTCCTGATACAGCGCCTCCTGGACGTTTTGGTTCCGAGCCAGATTGTATAGAAGAAATGCGAGAGAGTTGGCTGTCTACATAGACACACACACAAATGGAGGAAGTTGATGAACATGGAAACGAGAAATAAAATAATCAATATCTCCCTCATATTTTCATCCGTGGTTAATTTACACAGACATATAATAAGACAATTTCCTGCATCTTCTGGATTCTATACCACGCCGAATATAGGCTAAATCGCGAAGAAAGGATGTCCAACACGAAATTAGGTAGGTTACCTTTTGAAATCTGGCGAACAGAATCTACTTTTCATCACACGTTAATGTATTAAATAAACTCTTCCAATAAAAAATTATTCACTTTTAGTTCATACAATTAAACAAAATACCAGACTCTCAATAAAATGTTACTTATTTACTGACCTTACACTGACCCTGTAAATTTAATGGATGTGAGCATTCCTTTGTCTTAAATCTACTCAATCTATGAAATGGCAAGGAAATATTAAGTTTAATACTACGCGCAGTAAATTACTTCTAAGAATATATATTAAGACGAAAAAGTTACCAAAAGTTTATTTCAAAATAAAACATAAACAATATCTTTAAGCTATTTCGTCAACTAAGTCAAAGTACACAAACAAAAACATATTGTTATAAATGATAACTTAAGATTGTGGGTGAAAAATATCACTAGTCGGACTAGAGAAACAAAATTTCCAATGTATAAAGTTTCAAGGTGTAGTTCAGTGAATTTTAATTTCAACACGAGTGAGACAAAGACGCACACCGTATCAATTCCAGCGAAATACACTTCAGTCATCAGAAGTGCGATATCTCGCTTGTCAAGGTCTTCATTGGAGAAAAGTTTCTGAAGAAACAACAGGCTAGAGGAGTCTTTTCCTTTTGCATCTCTTTCAAGACGTGGTCTTACGCGTTCCAGGTTTTCCATTGCCATGCTATAAAACAGAAGGAAGACAAATGCTGTACGAGAATGTGAAGATTGTCTATATTATAATAACAGCTCTTTTTATTTCAATTATCACCATTTTTGTCGATTCACTATAGACCAACTCATAAAATGTTATAATAGTTCATTCATTTTTTCACCAAAATATCTATATGCTAATAAATTGGTTCTTTATTTTCATGGAAATGTTCGTGGAAAATGTTCATAATACTTGTAGCTACTCGGTAAATAACAATGGATTCATAATTACCATTTGGGAAGAAGTACATATTAATATAATGGAAATTGTACACTAACTGGTCATTTCATTAATCCTTATATCCTCGTACAACCCACACAGTATTGAGCTGGGACGACTTTCGTTGTGATAATATTTTGCACTTACAGAATGTCGGAAAATTTTTTATTCGATTGTAGTCCTTTCTTCTGGACGTAAAGCTCTGCAGTTAGTTCACAGACATAGGCAGAATACTGCGGTGGTAAACGCACCGTTAAAGCTAATTCCAAAGATGCTCATTCGTATTGAGATCTACTTACTGTGTCAATGAAGGAAACATTTTGAAATCACTGTTTTATTTTCAGAACTACATCTGTACAGTACGAGCACGATAAATTATTGTATTACTGTCGTGAAGAATCCTTATTCATGAGCTTCGAATAACGGCGCTGAGACGATTGGCAACAACGTTCAGGCATTACAAATATCATTTATCTTTTTAAAGGAGTCAAGCAGCAACCTAATCCCTGCCACAAGAGCATGTTTCCAACTAAATTACGCCACCTACAATAAATTTTACTGTCAGATCAATATAATAGTGGACAATTGAAAACTGGAAGAGTTGGAGCCTCTTTTCTGTCCTAATAGTTTAGTAAAAATATGAAAAACCAACTGGTATCACTCGACACTGTCTGTACTGTTCCGGTAATGCAAGCTGCTGGAGATAGTGTAATAGTGTTGGGAATGTTCTCGTCGCTAGGGATGGGTCCTTTAATTCCTTTAAAAGTGTGGGTGACATCCAGACTGTACTTTATGGTTAATGTCGATCATATCTACTAGATAATGTACAATGACTCTTCCAAGATGAAAATTCAACAATCCACCATGTACGTTTTGTTTAATACTGGTTTAAAGAGCATGACAGTAACTTCGATGATTTTCCTTGATAAATAAAATGATTGGATTTCAATCCGATTGAACATCTTTGGGGTAAGCTTATACACTACACATGCCACCAACATTCTCCGCTGGCATATGTGAACCAGTTATAGATCATACTTCTCAGTGAATGAACTATAATCGAATAAGACAATTTTCTGCATCTTTTGGATTCTATACCACGCCGAATCTAGGCTTAATCGCGAAGAAAGGATGTCCAACACGAAATTAGG